GCGGCCGCGGGGCCGGGAGACCTGCAGCCCCCGGGGGAGACTGGCCGGGGGAGCAGGTGCTGCCTTGCTGTGGGGCAGGGCAGGGAAGGGCAGTGGGGCTGGCTTGAAGCGGGCAGGTGAGGAGGCAGGCGTGGGCCGACAGTGCCAGCGGCCGCTTCTTGGCCTCCCGAGTGGGGCCACTCCCCCAGGCCCCGCGGGGGTAAGCAGCTCCCCTCCCCTCGCTGCCAGCTGGGGCCCACAGGCCAGCCCTGCCTGCCTCACTGCAGCCCCGCTGCCATGGCTCCGTGCTCCTCCGCCATGGCTCCGTGCTCTGCGCCGCCGCGGCTCCACACTCCACAGCAGTGTCTCCGCACCACGACCATGGCTCTACATTCCACAGCAGCAGCTCCGCACTCTGTGCTGCCACCACTGTGGGCCAGATAAAATGGCTTGGCGGGCTAAATAGCGGCCCACAGGCCATATATTGGACAAGCCTGCTTTAGGGGGACCAGCATTTCATGTAGGTGAAAGACACCCTTTTCCTGTGGATTTCACTCATATTTGCTGACATCAAAGGAGCAATAAGAGTCAGAAACTTCTGGAGAGCAGTAAGTTTTAGTGGGCACAAACTCTTTTGCCTATTTCCCCATAAAACTTGACCTCTTCTGCCCTACCCTCTCCATCCAGTCCTTCTCCCACTTCTTTAGGCCTCTCAAACTTGTTGCCCTTGTCTCATTCATGCCCCTTTGGGTCTTCTACAGGCTTCCTGAATCTCACTGTCACTCCATAGTCCCAGTTATTCTGCCCAATTCCAGTCCCAGGTGCTTTGTCTAACCAGTCCTAATTCACTTGTCTCCTTTAACAACCAATCCCAGTTCAACTTCCTTGGTCCTCATCTGATCTGCTTTCCCTACCTGAACTGTCTCTCCTTAACTAGCTCCCAGCACTAGTCCCCACTCTGGTCTTTCCAACCAGTCTCAGTTTCTCCACTACAGATCTCTCCAGATTTTTGTCCTAATCTCCTTCTGCAGTCAGTCCAACCTCTCCTGTAGTCTGGCTTCTTGTTATATTCACCTCCCTCCCTGCTCCTCCATGGCCCCCACTCTTGTCAAACAGGTACCTGACCCTAGTTTCCCCTTCCATCTGAGGAGAATAGACTCTTAAGAGATTTTAGCTGCTAAAACTGAAGCAGTCACTAGTGAGCATGTGCAAACTGATTTTGTAAAAGCGTTTATCTTGGCCAGGTATATGCCTTACAAGAGGCATATACCTGATCTATCCATTGTCCTGGTCCAAAGCAAGAAGACAGTAGAGAGGTTCAAAGGAAAGATCTCAGTAATCTATAATGTGCAAAACAATGCATTTCCCCCCTTGCTTAATTCTTAGAAGTGGTGGAGCCATTTTATTTGACTCTGTAATCAATCAAGCAATAAAATAAATTGACTCAGAAACCCAGAATGGAAATTTTCAACCTTAATGGTTAAAATTTGGCAAAGTCACAGGCAACTGAAAACAGATTTTTATAATGGGAAAGCTTGGATGGCTACTTATAGTTGGCAATGCCCACTCTCCCCATAATTTATATTTGCATACATATTAGTAATGATATTTTAATAAATGAAAATCATTTCAAATGGTTATTAACAAGGTGCATGGTAAAAATATACTTTAAATAACAAATCACAGCTATATTAAGAACGTATATCACACTGAAAGGCTCCATTCAGACTAAATGTCACACATTCCTTCAGTATGAATAAACCCACGAAGGATTATATGCAAGAGTTTCACTGCCTGTCTACGTATTCAGCTGAGGTGAAAAATATTTTTTTCCTCATAAGGCCTGCTACAAAGTCCAAAATGTATTACAACTTCCACAGAATGCCACTATCGAGTTCATGTAAACTAGGCTGAGTCAAATGGCTCCAAATTCTATTTAAAACATTTGTATAATCTACCAAAAGGTTTGACCATATTTGTCAAGTTTTCAAATTGGCTTGAGACACACGTGCTTCTTTAGAGCACAATTTTGCTTAAATAGGGATAAATATCCTACTTTCATAAGTAATCTCACTGGTTTATATGAAAGTAAGGGTGTAACAGAAAAGTCTGTCCCTTTAAAGATGAACAGTCAGCC